ATGAGTAAGTTCTAGACACTACACGGTGAAAGAGCTTCTTCTGTATATTTTTTATGGCATTCCAATCATTTACCATTTTTCTGTAAATTGAGTATCACCAGAAAAGCAATCTTTAAAGTTTTGTGGAGAAATTCGTACTGTTCGAAGGCGTTTTCCTTCATCTACTGGCAACTATTAAAGAAGCATTCTTAACTGGGGAATATTTAATGGCTGTCTCGTTTCTGTTAAATGCTAAATTAAGTTTCCCAATACATTTCTCCACTCTTACGAATTCCAGATACGATACGTTCGTCTGTGCTCATCTAGTTCTATGTGATTTAAATTGCTCTGTTTCGGGAATTCCTAGTTAGTACGTCCTTTCGATTAACTATATTTATCATACAGATACATTGGAAAACGTAATCTTATCATCAATAACTAACGCTTACACCACCGACGCATACCTTTCGAATTACAAAGCAAACAATTTTCGCTCAACAAAGTTGAAAATATTAATTCGTAATATCAGTGTTCTTTAGTCAAAATACACTCGTCGTTATATTTTGTCCTCTATTTGTACACTAAATATTTAGACTGTTTATTATCACATTGTATGAAAACGATACTATGTCTTCCCTATTTCAGCCACCAGATAAAAACGCGACTGAATTCTGATTTCACCAACATCACAACCGTACAGCATTTTAAGACGAGAGATAATGAACCATCTCTCTTTGCCAGACAGTCAAAGAATCCGAAGTCTTTTCTAAGTAGAAACTTTAGGTGACAAATCACCATCACAGCTTTTGCGTCACCTCCAAGTCTTAGTGGGAGACAACACAGTCGGTGGTGTAGCCCTAAAAAATGAATATAAGCTCTTTTATGTTACATCCACCACTATTTAGATGTTCACGATTCGGACACTTTATCTCATTCAGCCCGTAATGAAAATAGAATAATGGACGAGGTCTACCAACTGGACCACGTACTATGCACCATACACAAAAAGGTGAATCATTAAAAAGTTTAGTCATAATACTTATGGGCACATCTTTCACAATAATAACTGATGGAGAAGCCCGATTCGGATTTGAGCTAAACTCCCAGACTCTAACAACATATCATCCTCGTGCTGACAGGGTGGTTGAACATTTTCACCGTAGATAAAGACTGACACGTAACGACAAGAATTTTCCACAGGTGACCTAAAGTTATAGATGAGCGTAACCAGTATCTACTAGAAAACTACGTTATATTATGTACCGTCTTACCGTTTCACATAAAATTTCGGGCACCATAATGGTTGCTAATAAGTCATTTGTACGCACTAAATATATATTCACTATTATTAGGAGTAAATCAGCATAATAATATCACTACTGACTGACAGTATTGTAATGGTCTAATTTTGTATACTCTTAAACATCCTACTGAACCTTTAATAATTGATTAGTTCATAAGTTATCCTTAGCTTGGTCTTATTTTATTTGGTATTTTGTCACGTACACCTTAGCATTAAACCCACTGCTTCAACTAAGTGCCCTATGTTGGTTTGCGAACTAAATATTTTTTGTAGCGTCAAGGAAATAACACAGAATCCTAATATAAATACTCTCATTCATCTACATCTATACATAATTCCTATTAGGTGATAAATACGAATTGATTCCTGTTTGCGTCCAAAATGAGCTCTCCCATGAACATTCACATTTGGCTTTCTAGTATCACTTTTCAATATTACTTTATCAATTGACAAGCTTAGACTAAGAATTTTAAAAGATGTTGAGTCGGCTTCCGAAAACTACAACGGAGCCTCCAGAGACCCCAATGGAGCTGAAGAGCTTCAACCAGTCAGAGCTTGAGGGAGCTTTCTAAAATATCAACGTGGTATCCGACTAATGGTCAGTAGCATAATGTCTCTTAGCGGATTAGTCAAAGTATAATGTTGATTTGACAAATGCTAACAGTCTATAAATACCCTTGTTATTCTGTACAGGAATGAAATTTCGGAGTAAAGTGCTTTTTGCTTAATTTGCGACTTCTCTCTCGTGTTCACGTCGCTGCGTAGTACTAGCTTGCGGGTTACCAGAATCGCTTAGGAACCAAACAAAGGGTTCAAATTAGCAAAAGTTATCAAAAGAGCTTTAGGAAAAGTGTTCCTCGACAAAAAACAAAGAAATTGTTGTAACGCGTGAGACTGCAGGTTTTTGATAAGCAGCGTTTATTTATCGATCGCGATCTGTGACAGTGACACGTAAGGACGACCTAGTGCCCTGATTGGCCCTGCTTCGCTGTCTAGCCCAGCCACTTGAGATTAGAACGCAAGTCACAGCCTCGGAGTTATGAATCATTATATTTCAAACATACTTTGTTTACATACCAATCAAGCATACCACATCGTACCATAAAATAGAGAACAACATTTACAAAATATTTAACAAGTGAAGTAAACATCGACCAATAAGAAATGTACATTTAAGGTCCAAGGCCACCGTAGACTTAACACAATAATTATTGGTATATTTTCCCGACTATCCTAACAAAAATACTAGTCACTAAAACACTCGCGTCTTACTGAGCAATCGTTAAAAAATATGTGTAGATTGTGAGTAATAGCGATTCATCGAATTCAGCATTCGTAGGTAAAACGAAGCATACCATATTGTTAAGAAGAATGAGTAAATTTATGCATGTAAGCTGTGTTACTAAGAACCACTCATTTGCTTCCTAGTGAACTGACTAAAAAAAACATTCATATTGTTTTGCAATTCTCCCGAGACAGTTCATACGACCAGGACTATGAGTGTGCCGATTTCTGCCTGAAGTTTCATGACATAGAGGATCAAACTTCCTTATGCTGTTGACTATCATTCAAAGCTGGTCTCTATCTGTCAGTACAGATAAACTCCCCCTCACTTTGACCGATGAAAAATTCTTTTTCCAGACGCCATGTTGCATTGTAGAAACCTTTGGTTGATGGTATTAGGGGCTTTTTAACTTGCTCCAAAAGGGAAAAGAGAATCTAATACTAAGTTTTCTCGAACTTGCTTTTGAAGAGTAATGATTCCTTAGGGAACTGGTTTTAATTATTTCATCGTTTGTTGGTGATAGCTAACGAATTATGATGAATGGCTATTTATTTTGTCTCATCGGTCGATTTTCGTACACAGCAGACCGCATGCGGACGAGAGTTAGATTCAGTACATCTCTCTTCTACAATAAGGAACTCCCAGCTAGAGATAGGAGTAGTGCAATGAAATATAAGCTACTAGGTAACAAGCGACTGTATTGATATGAATCGATTGATGACTGGAGATTTCAACTAGTGGTTTAGTTCTCAACAAATACTTCAGCGATTGCTAGTGTGGAGACATTTTGGCTAGAGCTTGCTATCACTCATCTCTTGAAACGACTTTTCGCTGTGATTATATGTGTAAATAGCGTAAATGAAGGGGGAGTACATTGACCATCCAGACGTATCAAGCCTTAGATCAGGCTTAAGAAGCTTCCCTGAGAGATTGTTGTGTAAAGGGTGATTTTACCTCCGTGATAACATGTGTAAGCATTATCCCACCTCCATATTCGTAATCATATTTGTAGGCACGAAAAATACCAGCTGCGTGTGTGGTAAAGAATAGTCACAGTCAAATACTCTCATTCTATGGATTATTCGAACTAAAGATCATCTCGTTACTAGTTTGGAAATTGCATGCAATAAGGTAACCAGAGGAGAACAATTTTTCCTGAGAAATAGGTATGTACTCATGATAATATTATGTCTTCTAAGTTAATGTATTTTTGTTGCATCGAAAAAATAATAACACTACGTGATAAAGCACCCGGAGCCAAATTAGCGTCCCGCTGATGAACACGAAGTTGGCCAAGTTTCTTTCATTTTACCCGAACGTTAGAAACGATTATCTTATATTCACAAAAAGTGGGCTAAACGCCCATCTCCAAAAATCTAGTGTAGTAATAACCCCCTCCAGAAGATAGCTAGAGAACGATAATGGTAAACCGCTCAACACCGAAACATTAAGTCCAGTGAAAATTAAATCCCCGGAGAAATTTTAACGACAGTCAAGTTATGAATGTTTGATCGACAAATATTGTGAAATGAAGAAACAAATGAGTCTTGGATAATCCTTAACATACAGATCAGGAAGAACTCAAGAAATAACGCTGTCGCCAGATCAAACACTTAAAAAGAATTAGCAGAACACATATTTAGATAAAATTCTTCGATTTGCTCAAAGTGGTTAGCGTGAACTGAGGAGAAAATTTTAAAGGCACTAAAAGTGGTGGAGGTGATTACTTTTCAAAAGAAAAGGACACTCAACAAGTAATATATAAGCTTTTGTTTGACTCGGAGTTATTACTGGGTATTCGAGAGCATATCTATAATATTACATTAAACGACCCCATAAAATACTGTTGACTTGCATCAGTGTATCTGTGTGTAAGCATTTCAAACGAAAAAACGGATCACGACGTCAATTTATTTTTATCTGCTACATCAAAAATTACTTGACGTGTATACCGTGGTATGGATCATGAACAAAACCAACACGGATCTCTTACACTGATCCTAGATATTGGGGAATATTTTCTTTATAAATATCATCCCAAAGACCTATAACTTTGAAATTTAAAAGCCAACATCTTTATTTCAGACGCAACTTATGACGAACAATTTGTTTTTATTATATGCTACAAAAAACATCACGGAAATGACCTAGCATATATCAGAGCAACGCACACCAAAACTAGGATATTCTGTCTTGGATATTCTGTTGTGACTGAATGACAAAATACTTTTTTGACCTTAAAATTAGCGTACCTCTACTTGACCATCAAATTTTAGGCCGTATTTCTCTTAATGATCCCTCAGAAACATCGTTTGAAAGAACTTATATTTTTTTAACGATCTCTACACTGACCTGTTAAAACCATATTATTACATATCTGTCTTTTCTGAGATACTAGTGACCTTTGGCTACTAGACCATAAAAACATTGTTCGGAAGCTCAGTTTTTGACACAATCACTTGAAATGATTGTTCACCATATTTTTTAATCATTCTGTAGAAGGTCAAGTGGCTTTTGGAAATTCAAAAAGCGTACCACTTATCGCGAGAGTATACTAGTTGAACTGCTTTCAATAATTGTCTTTCAAAATGAGTGCTGGTAAGACAAAATTCGACCTTAATATAACTGAATTAAGACAAAGCGGACCCACCATATCCAAAGTCTCCGGATTTCGACGGTCTTCCGCAACCATTACCCCCCCAATATCCTGGTAAGAACAGTTGGTTGTGTTTGGACTATCCAGTACTATTTTGATCAGGCTAAGTTCAGAAATATTTCGAAATTTTTATTCAGGCTAGTCTATAATTTGTGGACTGCCTCTGTAAGTGACTGAAGTGACATTGAAAATTCTCAACGAAATAATGTGATCAAAATATAGTTATAAATTAGTATGAGGAATCATGACTAAAAGTTAAAGCCGTAAAATAATATAAAAAACTGAAATTAGGTGTTTCATCGCGGATCAACATCAGCTATGTTGGCAAAATGTAATTTAGTCATATTGATGTATGAATTTCGCGCGGAAATCCATGTGTCGTTACCTTAGGTCTGATTGGTTCGCCAATAGCTTACAGCCTCCTTACAAAAAACTGCTTGAATTTCTTTTCGTGTTTCTGGTCATTGTGGTACAATACACGTCTCTGACAATATATTTAAAGTTCATAATTTTCTTTCGATAATTAAACTCTTAAGATTTCACCCTTAGAATTATAGGAGTAAGTGATATAACTGGATGTTACTCAAATATTTCAAATCAGAACCCGATGGGCATGAAAATGTCTAAGTTTTTACCTCCTGTTTATTTAAAAAGACATATCGATCATGGTCAGATTGTAATAATTGCCATTTTCGTCCAAATTTTGATGATGACTATCATTATCGTTTTTCGGAATGGTTGCGACAGATCACAAAGCCTTTAATGATTCGTTCTATCTAGCGTCAACGTCAGTCTTTTGAGCTTTATTACGATATAAGAGCACTTGTTTAAGTATAAAGAACTTATCTGCGACCAGTTTATGTGATACAGCTCTCTACATCTATATCATCAGTTTGGTAATCCTGAGTTCAACAGTCTATTCCTCCTATCAACATATTTGTTTCTTCAGAACACTGTGGTCTCCCATCTTGTTTGCATTCTGTGTATCATAACTATAGTGCCGTGGTGTTGAAATTGCCACATCCAACCATGAATTATGTATCATCAAGATAAATAATATGATATTTCAAATATTTAGAGCACATTTGTCAACAAAAATTTGAAAGCTACTCAAAAGTGAAATAATAAATTCAACACATGAAATACCCTAACACAAAAAACATAGGGTAGTACCTTTTATCTACATTCCAAAAGCTTCGCTTACAGTTTATGGTCTCGTAAATGCCGTAAAACAGTTTAAGTTTCAGTTTGGGAAGGACAGGAGGCTTGATGGTCTATGTTAGTCCTGGCAATGGTGGTCTCTCAGTTGATCCAACTTTCTCTTGAAAAAGTCGAAGGATGGAGCCTCAACCACGTGCTGAGGTGGTGAATTCCACTCGTTGATGATTCGATGGGAAAGTCGATAGTCAGCTGACAAGTAATTTGTTCTCGGCTTATGAACGTTTTTAGAGTGTCCTCGTAAATTCTCTGTTTTGGAAGACAAGGAAAATGAGGGCATATTAGGTGCAAATTTATCACTAAGCAATTTGTAGACTGTAATCAAGTCGCCTCTAGTTCTACAATATGACGACGGGAAAAGGTTCAGCTTGGCCAGTCGAGCATCATACGGAAGCTTCGCTATTCCGGGAATCAGCTTAGTCGCCGTTCTCTGAACCTTTTCCAGAAGCTCACTGTCTTTTTTAAAGCAGGGGCTAGCCGCTTGTATGCAGTACTAAAGTTTAGGGCGAACGAACACTGTATACAAAGTCAAAAACGTTTTAGCGTCGACATGACTAAAAGCTCTACGTATTGACCATAAGGTTCTAAAACCTTTGGCGGCTGTTGCACGGCAGTGTGCAGTAGTCTTTAAGTCCTGACTAACGATAACTCCTAAGTCATTATATGTCTGGACGACTGGTAGCTCAGTGTTATTCATCGTGTATGTATCTGTGCCTTGATGACCGATACGCATCACAACACACTTGGAAGTATTTATCGGCAACTGCCATGTTTGAGACCATTCAGATAACCTCTTCAGGTCATTTTGAAGTTCTAAGCTATTACCCCCACATCGTATCGTTTTCCATATCTTGACATCGTCAGCATATAGCAAGACTGATGATGATAGGAGACAAGGAAGTTCATTTACATACAAGAGGAATAGCACTGGCCCTAAAACTGTACCCTGGGGCACTCCACTAAGTACAACTTCCCAGCTAGATAACTTTGAGTTCACCCTTACTCTTTGTTGACGCCCAACTAAGAAGTCTTTTATCCACATCAATAAATTGCCTCCAATCCCGACTTTTCTTAACTTATATAACAGCCGGTTGTGCGGACCTTTGTCAAAAGCTTTACTAAAATCAATGAAGGCGACGTCTACAGGTAGCTTTTGGTCCTTAAGAGCACACCAGCTTTCGCGAGCCACTGATAAGTTAGTGAGACAAGAATAACCTATTCTGAAGCCGTACTGCTTCTCCGAGAGGATCCGGTTTTTATCGAGATACTTAAACAGCTTCTTCTGAATAAGATTTTCTAAGATTTTAACAACCACACTAGTTAGGCTAACGGGGCGGTAATTCTCAGGTTTTTGTTTCGTACCTGTTTTGAAGACAGGACTTACTATGGCGTTTTTTCAATCTTTTGGTAAACAACCCTGCGTAACGGATAGGTTAAAGCATGTACTTAAAGGGCTTGCAACGAAGTTAGATAATTCCTTCAGTAGCCTAGGATGTAATTCATCGGGCCCCGTGGATTTACCTATGTCAAGCTTATTTAGCAGACCAAAGACATCAAGCTCTTTAATGGTCACGCTATCCAGTGTATGTATGAGGGGATCTGTATACGCTGACGGGAAGGGCGTTTCTATGGTATATACGTTGCTAAAGTAGTTCGAGAACACTTGAGCCTTACCAAAGTCGTCCTCCACCAATGATGAAGCAGTACTGTATCCCCATAGAGCAGGAATATTTCCTTTTCTCCTTGTCCTTTGGTTTATATAGGAATACAAGCGTTTAGGACATTCTATGGATTCCTTAACAAGTTTTCCTTCGTACAATTTTCTAGACTTACGGAGGGTCAAGGCACAAGTGTTCCGAGCCTTTAGATACTGAGATTTTGACTCATCAGTCCCCAGTAACCTAAATATATCCCACATTTTCCTTTTCTTACGGAGAAGGATACGGACCTCCCTACTGAACCATGGTGGTCAGTTTTTCGGCCCCTTTGGTATAGTCCAAGGGATGTGGGGTGTGGTAACTTTTAAGTATGAATTTCGAAATGCGTCCCAGGCCGTTTCAATTGAGGAATCTGAGTCTATTGTCCAATCTATTAACGATGCTGAGTGCATGATGTCTGGTATGTTTGCTTTCCAAACGTTGGGTCTGGACTGGACTGACACGTCCTCGTGACTGGCAGTTATATGGAAGTCGAAAGTTAAAACTGCGTGATCACTTTTACCTAGTGGTGGTATATGATGGAGGTTTGCAACATCATCCTCATAGTGAGTCAGTATAAGATCTAATAAGGATGATTCACTGTCGAGATCGTACCTTTTCGCTTCTTTCACATGTTGCACCAGGGCACATGTCATAACCCCATCAACTAGTTCCTGCTCGAAAGAATTCTCCAACGATTTAGTTCGCAGATTTTCCCAGTCTACCATAGGTGCATTGAAGTCCCCTAGGGTTAGACATCGACCCCTTTTGACCAAGTATTGAGACTGCTTAACAGGATCTCATTTGCCTCACAGCTTGGACTGCGATAGACCAAACCAATCAGCAGCTCTTGTCCCTTGCATTTCAAGTGGCAACTAACTAATTCACACGTCCCACTCTCATTGGATACACTAACGATAATGGCAAATGGGATAGCATTCCTAATGAATAGAGCTAGTCCCCCTCCTTTGCGCTTTTGTGTTCTGTCGTAGAATTATTAATTAGAAAATAAAATTCAGCAATCTCTCGAAGTGAATCATAATTTCTAGATACCTAATGCCAGATTTTATAGTGTCTGAGGAACAATGAAGTTGCTTGTGCTCATAAAATTGTTATTATTTTGCTCTTCTTGAGGTGACAGAAAAGTATGGTAAATACATAAAAGACATTTTCAGGTGAGTTAATATTTCCAACCGGTGATAATTTTTTCTCAGTAAAATAACAATCAGATTCAACATGACTTACTTTATCTCCAGGCTTAGATATTTATGAACGGGAGAGTGGGTTTTTAAACAACAGGCAAATTCCTTACTTGGGTTAGATTTCTTATTTACCTAAAACGTCTATCTTCCTTCAGAAATTATTAACCATTCCACCTTGTATACTCGTTAAACTCATTCAAAGACTAGAACACAAACAAACATGAGCAAACTACAGCATATACTTGTTTGAGTCAATATTTAAAGGCCCTGAGAGAGTTCTTAATCAAATCTGTTTGTAAAATTCTACTTCTAAAAGTTATCCATAGACTAAGACAAAGCTATGAGTTAGTTGGAGCTACCTTTACTTAGCTATTCAAGCGTTTATTGACCGATCTAAACAATGTACAAGTACGTTTCACTGATGCAACCAGCCACTGAAATATTGTAAAATTAAATACCTGTAAAAGTAATGTCTCGTGAAATATTTCGTGTGGAGCTTATTAGAAGATCTATGCTACGATATAAACTTTATCAGGTTTTAGTTTGAAATTTAAAAAATTCCAAGATGAAGTGATAGTTATTTTCAAGATTTTATCCAGCAAAACTTCTTTTTGGTTTTAAATGACGAGTAGATTCGTTAAATCAAAGACACCCGAGTCTTTTGGTGAAGACCTCATAATGTGCACATTAAATACAAGTAATGACCTTGAATATATGATGAAAACCCGTACGATATATTTGAACTTTTTCTAAACCAAGCTGCTTTTCCTATCGATTACATGTCAATCGACCTTCCTTTAATTCTTTTCTGATTAATTAAAAAGGTAAGGTTGGACTTTCTCAGTCAGGTATAGACTAATAATAGAGGATAGCTTACTAAGTCCCTCACTTAAATTGCCTTGGAAATCTCATCAACTCCAGTAAGTAGGTGTTGGGTTAAATTACAGAATTAAATCAAAGACTTTGGCTTCTAGTAATTTATTCCATTTTTTGACATGGGGAAGATATCCGTATGATAACCAGAACATTATTGATCTGTGCAAATACCCTTTTTCTGGTCTGTCTATGAAACACGGTCTTTGGTAGTACGGGATATTTGTAAGTTACCAGCGTTGTAAACGATAACACGGGTGGGGACAAACAAATGTATTTTAATGCAACTTTATACAATATCCTGGTAGATTCTGAGAACCATGAAGTGAATACATCATTTGCAAAATATTTGTATTTCATCATACACACCTTGGGCGAATTGCTTGCGTGTGTTAAAACCGCTGGTTCAAAAATACCGATGTCAGATGCAGGACACTAGGTAGACATGAAAAATTAGTCGATGAAGCGATGACCCTTCTTTGAATGGAACGGTCAGGACATGCATTACCTACCCTCAACCTTTGCTTGCCACGACACTCGACATTTGTCATTTCAGGATCAGGTTTAAATAAAGTTAATGATCCTCGGACCAAGATGTGGTTTCATTCTATTAATTCAATGATGCTTGGACTAAGCCATGTTTTTTTATGTAGATTACCATACTGTAGTTTTTGGAATTATCGTGACCAACGGTTGAAAGCGCTGGGTGATATGACTTATAACCAGTTGTTATGGCACAAAACATCCATTCTTTGTCTCCTTTTAGATGTTGAATATAGGAATTGTCCCATTCATTTTACCCGTTAAATTCATTCTTTCTCCTTAAATAATATCTTCGACGCCTATTCTTTTGTAATAACACTGAAATTATCATTTTTCTGTCCTGATATTCGCCTTATAACTTAATCTTCCTGTGCTAATTTGGTTTTGGGACCTTAATCTATGAACAAATGTGTCAAACTTTACTCAACCAATCACAGACTAGAAAAAACAATTGCTTCGTCATACTGTTATCAGGATTTTGTTGACTTCTCATGACTGAGTAGAAATAGTGAAATTTTATTTAGATTCATCGCGTAGTCTGTTCGGTTTCTAGAGTTTTGCTGTGCTTCTGTTCATGGTGTGTCTTCGTTTACCAATATTTATGTATTTAAATCAATAAATAAATGAAATTTACAAGATGACAGGTCTTGTTCATAATTCAAACTTGTATTGCTCATACAATTCTCAGCTTTAATATACCCATATGTTGCCAGTAAAGTGAAACAAAAGATAGAGGATGAGTTACATCAAAATTATGTTTGCTTAGATGCCTAAAATCAGACTTGATTATATATACAAGTGACCGCAGTTATAGGGAATATTTTGTGTTGACTTTTCATAAGTAATGCATGACTAACGAATGATGAGGGCTGATTTTCTCAAACGTGTTCCAAAAATATCATTCCTTTTTATAGTAGACTAGTAACTTTTCCCATGCTTTTACATTTGACTTCAGTTTAATGTGACTATTATTTTCAAATTATTTTCCTGTTCGTTATAACTACTGACAACATTTTTTAATCATTTCTGTTCTATCCAACAATTAGCGTTTTTTATCACACTCAAGATACAGTTCTAATCGGCAGTTGTGTGTACAGATATGAAATTCATTATGGGATCAATTTACACTTCAGCATTCTGCAACATATAAGCTTTTTGCCCATACATAACTTCTGCATCTTGAAATAAACACTTGTACAGTCAAATAAGAAATTATTAGCAGTTTTCGGGTTTCACTACATTACTATACTAACGATTTTATACTGGACTATAAATTACTTTGTGAGCATAAATACGGTCAATCTCCTCAAGATAAAAATAAGAAGTTTGACAGAAACGCTAAATCCGATGTTTCAGTTAAGTGTCTGTTATTAAACTTTACCAAAATAAATCTTGTTTGTTCACCGATGAATTCGTAGATCTGATCTTTTGTAGAAATTCTATCATATGAACTAAAGACAATGCAGCAAAATTAACCTCTGTGACTTACTATTTCCAGTTAAAATATCCTACTAAACACATCAATGTTTCTAACCATCGATCTCTATTTTTTACAGTCCCCAGTATTTTACTATAGAACCAAGAAAAACAATTATTGGTTCCTTATTCATAATTCATCACTTAACATTAATTCCCCAAAGATTTCTCCTTCTACATAAGATACAAACATGTTGAGCTCATTTTTCTCAGATATCACTTGTACAGAACTCATCAAGAAGCAAACTTTATACTTATGACAATCAGTTATTTACTTTATCCACTTGGTAATCAAAATGAACAAATTTTAAACCTTTTTTAGATACGGTAGTTGTGGAACAGCCTTGTCCGATAATCACCAATTCACATTTTGTTCCCGGACCAGATCCAGTAAATACCGTGTGTCCATACTGTCATAAAGATGTTACAACTCTTGTGACCTACAAAACAGGAATATTAACATGGGCGGGATGTTTTGGGATTTTTATAATTGGGTAAGTCTTCTCATATTTGTATATATACATTTATGCATATCATACTTCACTCATATTTCGAGATTATCAAGAAAATTAGCTACATAATTCTGAAATATTATACTCAACCGGAAAAGTATCAAGCAGGTGAGAACTGGGAGCGCATATTTCTCTTTTGATAATAAAATTTAATATTGCCAGTACATCTGACATAAGATTATTAGGTTTTTCTGAAAGTCTCATACAACTCCTCCTTGACTAATAAGAAGCAAAAACCTTTAGAAATTCACTGTAATCTTTAATAACCTTTGTGTTACATTTCACATATTTTCGTATTTAAACTACATTGAACAGTCCTGTCATCTGAACATTTAAAACAGTCAAAAATCTCTTTAATTCCCCACACGTTTTTATTAGTAAGAATGAATAATCAATTTGATATCCATCCCAAGACCATCAAGCAAATAACGATGAAAACATATGTATAGAATTATTGGAAATACATTCTTATCATTATTGTATAATTCCATACATAAAAAAATTATGAAAATAGTATGATGAAAGTTAGCTCTTCAACATAACAAACACAGATCATTTACAACCCTAATAATCTCAATGATAAAAAAACTCCTGTTCTCAAATTCATCTACGTAGCTGTTATGCCAGAAAATATTGCGAAAATTAATTTATCTCTAGTTAATAAAAACAACTGAGATAAACAATTAACCATCGGCGTATAACAGTAACATAACAAATCTAGGCTTATCAACTTGCTAAGCTGATTTTTATTCCAGTAATGTACAATCAAACCTTCATATGGCATATAAATTTGGATATTTATATGTAGCAATAGGAATCATATCAATCAGCTACTGAGTCATTTTTCAATAGTTCATATTCCCAATAAGTTCGTTTTAACATTCAGTGATCCACCATATGAATAACTGCATCGCTCTCAACTTTTATAATTCTGTGCTTCCCAAAAATGTGCAATGAAAGATAATAATAAGTTTATTCACCCTTTTAAAAAATACTACATTTTTAGAGGGAACATTAAATCATCAAGTTTTAGCTAGAAACTTTGCCCTTCTTATTCATAAACTTATCATCTATGGTAAAGAAGGTGACGTTTTTAGTTTATAAAAAAACTCGCAAACTCAAGTAGTTTAATTATGCAGATGTCTGTTTTTCAGGTCCATCTATTTTAATATAAAGTAAAAAGCTGTTTTGCTGCATAGAATATGTTCTGCTGAAATCCTACACAGTTTATATAGCATAAGTGAGTTTATATAAATATTCCAAAAAAACTAATAATTCAACTAACATTTAAACGTATTCTATATTTGTGCAATTGATATCCAAAGATCATCTGAAAAATAAATGATTATGACAATTTCAATACAAAACCAAGCTTACCTTATAAAATAATAGAACTTTAAACTATGAATCAGTAACATTATTTCTTTATCATATTTCATAGTAAATTATAGCATTTATGAGCGAAAATTGTATAATTAATATTATTCTAAACATTGTAATGTATTCACCTCATCTCTACACTGATAGTCGAATTCTCGTCTAACAGTTCGATTTTCAAGGAATATATGGCATATTATCATTATATAAAATTAGATAACATACTTGTGTATTAGTGTCGAGTCGTAAGTGACTATGATCACCACTACAAATCGATTACGTGCCACTTATCAGGTAAAATCCCTCCCTAGGATAAATATTAAAAGGAAAGTTGTAGATTGTAGTTAGGATATATTTGTTGATGATCTCGTGGTATCGAAATAATACCGAGATCGTGCCAAAGTTTACAGGCGAGACTACCGTGCATACTTGCGTAAGTTCAAGGTCACACCAATCGCTTTCTCTTAATAAAAGTTGATCATTACACCTGACTAATTTATCGCTTCCACTATATCATCACTCTATAAAAATGTATTCAATATTTAAACCATTCTTCTATAATACTACAAAACTATCATTTGTGAATACTATTACTGCTTAAAATTCATAAGCAAGATATATTTGCAACACCATAAATGTTGACTTTTATCCAAAGTGTTAAGTTTTAATACTTCATTTTCTAAACAAAAAACTTTAACGGCTAAAACAAAATGTAATACGATCCCGTTTTAGTTATAAATATCACATTTATTAAGTCGTTACATGTTTTAACGTAATTGGAATCAGCTTTATTATTTACCCTTGTGAATCATACAAAAGAATATCGTAAACACATCTACGTAGATTAACGTATAGATTTTCAGAACCAATAAAATGAATTTCATCATATGTCAAAACATTTGATCTAATTTATACATGCTTCTTTAATCAACTGACAATATGCTTTCTTCTTTCTAGTAAACAATTCCATTTCGTAGCTCATATTTCTTTTTCTCTTAAAATTGTATTCTAACAATCATTTGATTGATTAATTATAAAAGTTGATCTAGAGTTAAGTTGCATAGTGTAAAATATCCAAAGTAAATAGTTAAATTTTTTTATTATTTTAATCCAATATATCACGTGATACAAAGGCAGCATACAATTAAACATTCATAACAAACAGTAAAAATTAATCCTTTTTTTGAATTAGTAATAAACAGCAAATTAGTTGGTAACCAAGGGAGCTAATTGTAACTATGTGTCTCTCAAAACTGTAATTAATCATCTTTACATATTTATGGAATTTCTTTTTTTTAAATAAAAAATCATATACTTCATGTATAAAAAATGCTAGACAAATTGATTGATTCTGATTCAACTGATGAAACAACACATACACAAATAACTTTAAATTAGCAGGCATTCATATGTTCTAAAGTATTTTAGATGTTAAGTTCTCACTTAACATTCCTCTTAGTCTCAATCAATTCAACTACAAATCCTGTAAGAAAAATTATAGAAACTACTGATTTCAAAGTGTATACGATTACATAAGTAGTAAATAAACATTTAACTTGATGTTCTTCAAATATTTTTATTTGTATTAATATGATATTAACAAATATAATTTCCTTCTTATTAATTAACATAGACTAGAAACTTCACTATATAAAACGAGTGCAGAACATTAAAACCGTACTTGAAAGACTGAATAAAAAAACAATTTCAGTTATTATGATTACTAATGATTGTGTTAATTGCATAAAAACATACGAGCAGAGAAACTATAAAACGATATCAATCCATAAAATTAATCAATGTTGGATTGAGCTCTGTAAAGAAGTATTGTAATTCACTAGATAATTCTAATATATACTTAGAGTCTTCAACCGATAATGCTGAAAAGTGTCCGTGGTAGTTCAAATATACTCACATTATTAATTTAAATCAAAAACCTTGAGCATTGAATAAGTCAAGATATTTCGATTCTCAACATCGTTCATGCCTTTTGAACTATGATCTCTATGTTCATTTTCAATCGTAATTATTATCATTATTTTGACTCTTCCGTGTTAAATATTTGTAGTTTACTTTTAATACATTGATATGAAGTGTCAAAATCCTCAAATCGATAACATCTAATTAAAATTATTTACAAAATGATAAAAGTAGACTCATCCATAAAATTTTATATTTCTTTGAGGTTATAGTTGAATAAAATCATTCTCGCTGTTGTAGCCGGATATTAAATCATTCAGCTTAGCGAGTGTTCATTTTATTATTTCAAGATAATGTTAGTATATTTAGTTCCTTGTAACAAACTAGAAAAAGATGGCAAACAAACTGTGTAAATGTAAGTACATGAATTTTAAATTACCTTAATTTACAAGAATACATGAGGTTAATCTATCTAGTTTCCGTGAAACTATTATATTAGAACATTTTTATGCATAACAATTTACTTTATGACCAAACTTTACAAAATAATCAACCTAGAAACACCACAGTTTTTCTTCTAGTTTTGAAATACCGGCTTATAAGTAACAACTAATAACATTTAATGTGAAGTACGCTATACTGTGAAGTGCTAAGTGTGGACCACCAAATAATGATCAGCTAGACAATTATATTGAAATCTAATGGTTACAGGTATAATTACATGTGTGATATTCTCTGCACATCACTGAGATGCTATAAACCAATGCAAATAATCATTGATCAAACGTTTGTTAGTTAATATCAGTTTTCGACAAAAATTGCCTTCAAATAGACACACATACAACTACTTTAAACCTTTCAGCACATAAATAAAAATTATTTCGTTTTGACTAGCATCAGAGTGAAGAATTAATGGGATTCAAAATGAATATTTGATTTAATTAATTATAAAAAATCCAGTACCGGTCTGATTCCAGAAAGACGTCAGCTGGGTTTTTTATGCAACAATGGATATCGACAATTTAAAATCGATTTTGATACACTTTTGAGTTCCATTTCTTTAAGATGAATAAAAAATGCATACATTTTTTAAGTCATAGAAGGACACAATGTCATATTAATAAATCCAGTCTACTAAGGGAGTTTGCTTATAAGGATCTGAAAATATGAATTAAACATGAATAGAAGCAAGGAAAGACATTTCTTTTTTTTTTTAAATGACTGATCATAGAAATTTCAATCAACAAAAATTGACTAGTTGCAAAATCATATCAATATTCAAGTAGTTAGATATTTGAATGAATGTTTTCTCATATTTCTCCTTGCAATAGTTTTGTGAAATGGACTCGTTGTTCCCAATGGTTACAATACTTCTGGGGACAAAAAAGATTGAAATAAGTATATTTCAGTAAAACTCTGTTGATGTTAACATTCTAGATAACCATTATAACTTTACAAATCTAATATAAGAAATATTTAACTTTCAATACAACCAACAAAACTGATTAACTAAACCTTCATTTGTATACTCGACCTTTAGTCACATATTTTCGTTAAGAACTTTGAAACTACTCACCTACCTACATTAACATGGATAATATAGTGCTTATTTCTGTTCTACTTTTTTAAAACACTGAATTTATCAGTCACTAAAGGATCCGGTTAAAAGCTTTCTATTAAATGGT